TTTTACAGTTTAAATATTAAATTTTTATTTGTTTTATATTTGTTTTGTATTTAAACTTTAAACTTATGAAACAAATAAAAATTTAATTTTTCTTCTTAACCTATTCAATACTTTTTCTTACGTAAAGTTTAAACTTTATATTATACGTTATATTATACTTATAATATGTATCGATAAAAGGAATAATTTGATTAGTAAATTTTTTTTAATATTCAGTTTGTCATGTAATAAATAATAAATATATAACAGAAATTTATTAGTTTTTATTACTAACATTGTACTGTACGTAACATTCTAACAAAAATACCAAAATGTAAAATTGGCCGATTATCGAAACCGATTAATCGGGAAAATGGCCGATACCGATTAATCGGCGAAGTGGCCGATACGGCCGATTACCGATTACTTACCGATTAATCGGTGCATCCTTAAAATCTACATAAGATATTACAGAACAAATTAATACTTATTTATATTTTATATACGCGTAAAATTCACAAAAAGCTTAAGAAAGAATTACCTACAGTATAACTAATAGCAATTAATAATATGAGGTAAAACTAGAATAACAAAAATTAATAAATAAATATAATAACTTGAATAAAAACTACGAAAAAGTAATAAATGGGCAGTCTGGTGCAAGGTGATTTTTCATCCTGCGCCTGTTATCTTACAAATTAGATATTTTTAAAAATGACATTTAAGTATAATAAATAAACATAACAAATATTTTGCACACTATGAAAAGTTTACAAATTTCAACACGTTTTATTATTCATATTCAAAGTAATATACAATCTGTAATTTTTCTATAATCAGAGCCCTGGTTAACTTTCTTTTAAAACCCATATTTGAACGCGATTACAAAGTATTATTATGTTTGACATGCGGAAAACAGTCGTTCTATGTATTCATAGATCAATTTTGAAAAACGATTCTTTTATTGCGGGTTTTGTGATTTTAGGTGAGTAATGTATTGTGTTTCATAAAAAAGTTACTCAAAATGTAACATTTTTATATATTTCATAAACGGAAACAGAAAAGTTGTAATTTTCAGGAAATTTAATTACAAAATCGTGAAATTTGAAGCGTTTTTTACAAACTGTAAAAAATCTGTTGGTATCTAAGATTCGCTTTTTTGCATGTGTCATTTAACTGTGTCAACTAAAAAATGTTTTTTTACCACTCCGGTTCTTAAGTATTTCGAAAAAGACCGTCCCCTACCATCGTAAAGCGATTAGCGGAAAATGGGTAATATGGGGATAGTAAAATCTCAGCACCTATTCTCTTTCCTTGCGTTTAGATAAAAGTAAAATAAAAAGTATTAAATGCAACAAAATATTTAGCAATCTGTATAAAACGATCGGTGTAGAAAAATAAAAAACCAATACAAATAGATGAGTCAACAGCAACGTCATATGACGTCACATAAGAGTAAAAATTGTACTAAACAAATGCAAACTCAATATGCCTCTAACTGCCACGATTAGTCGCGTGGTGACTATTGTTTTCCATTGATCTTTGCGCTCGCTTTCTGTGAGAATAAATTTCGTACAACTTTGAAATTGTTTAGTGCAATCTTAGACACTTCAAGGAAGGTAGACACTATTTTCCGGCTTTGAGCAGACTAAAAAATACACGCATTTAAACATGGTTGATAAACTATTGTTCCCCGTGCTCCTAACTGAGAGTGAATTCATACTAATATATAAAGATTATCGTGTTAAACTATATTCCATCATACAGAAAATTAAAATACTTTACTATGTAAAAGCACTAACTTTCATTAATTACGATAGTAAATTAAAAAATAAATTATAAATTCCATTCTATAAATTAATCTTCAGAAAATGAATGTTTTGAATGATGCAGTTGACCTTAATTATGATTTGAATTTATAGTGATAGTGATTTTAGTTTAATTAACTGAATTAGATTATATTATATACATTTTTGAATTCTTAGGCAAGCGTTGAATATATTCAAGATGTAGACAAAGATCAGATAGAATCAATGCAAAAACCATCAACGAGTGGTCAAAAATCTCAATCAGTAGAATATAAAGAAGCTGTTGTGAAAACCCTTAGTAGCGATTCAGAAAATACCGGAATTATTAATAGAGACGAATATTTAAACATGAAGGAATTGGAACGTTTACCAGAATTGGAAATATTTTCAGAAGTGATAATTGAAGGATTCGAACTAGAATGTCACGTCTGTGAAGAGAAATTTGACGACGAAGTATCTCGTAGAGAACACGAAGCAAAATTTCATTAATTTGCAAAGTATACAATTCGGTAACGATGTTACTAAACGACTTAAATCTTGCATTTATTTTTCATTTATTATAGAAATATTTTTAATCTTTTGCACGCAGAAAATCATATTAGTAATTACGTTTTGTAAATCTCTTTATTTTTAAAATTGAAATTAAAAGAAAATATGAAAAAAATTGTGTTTAACTCAATTATTTTATACAAGTCAGCAATTTATTAGAAATACCTTGTACATTTATTATTTTAATATAAAAGCGAGGTTAAAATTTCGATAACACATTTTTTTTCTATTCATAGTTTTCTGTTCTTCAAATTGTCTTTAGTTATATTTACTGTTGACTGAATTAACGTAAATATTTCCTTTTTCTTACGTTTCTATTGCGTCTAAATTACTAACACATCCATTCTTTTTCCACAGAAAAAGAGAATAAAAACATTTCGAAATGTATAAATTTAATTTCATGGTCTGTAATTGCTGATAACAAATACAAAAACGTTGAATTATTTTCCACTTAATTTTGGAAGTTATATATGTTTTATGTGAGAAAAACTTATTGTTGCATTATTTCATACAACCCACTTTATAACATTTTTTACATACAGATGTTATCCAAACAAAAAACAGATGCAAAAAATTTAGGTCAGGTTAAAAATTCTGATTGTTTGGATGACAGTCATATTGTTTTTACGAGTTTTTCTGTCGCAAAGATAAGCTTGGCACTTGGAAACTGTATGAAGATTAGTGTATTAATGTTTAAATAAAATCTTGACCATACAAATAATTTTGGTTCTGTGCAAAAACAAATTTTTTAATAATTCAGCTAGAGACAGATGGTTAATAAGTTAAAAATCGACAGAATGATATTACAAAATAGATACAATATACAATTGATGTTGACCTTTTCGTGGAGGATCCGACTTCTACGACACAGCATTAAAAATTCCTCACACTATCACTCAGGTATATATCAGTTGTATTTAAACACATTTGCAGATCTCTGGTGGAATATTAGCATATCGACAAGAATAACAACGTTCCAAGGAAAATTTTTTTCGTATTCATGTTTTTAGAATTTCGCTTCGAAGTTTCAAGTTTATCTACACGAAAGAAAAACTCTTAAGTTTAAAATTGTGCTTTATATATATTCTTTTTTAAACCCCAGATATAGAATGGAAAAAAGTATATAGCTTTTTGGCGATTTTTACAATTTTCAGTTACTTATATTTCGGTAACCTATTTATTGATAACTATAATTTTGCACACAACCTAAACAAACAATTATTTTTCCAACGAGTTACACAGGTTTACTATAGGGATTTAGGGAACGGAGAAATGACCCAGAAAGACGGAAACCTGATTTCTGTAGTTAAACTGTTTTCTCAAATGGTACAACTACGCTATTGAAAGCGTAGTTGTACCATTTGAGTGACATAAATACAGCGTAGTTGTATTTATGTCACTCAAATGGTGACATAAATATGAAAAAAATAAATTATGTTGTACAAAGTGAAAAAAAACAAAAAAAGTGACAAAAAAACGTAGTTGTACAAGTGACATAAATATGAAAAAAATAAATTATGTTAAAAAATAATTAATTCTTTGTATAACTTAACTAATTTTTACACTAAATTTACTTAGTATAACAATGTATCCTTTTTAATACGAACATTTTAAAGAAAATTAGAAAAAGATACGTACAGTAACCCTATTTTTGTAATTTTAAAAAGAATATTGTGAAATGAATAAAAATCAATGCAATCAATATAACTTTTAAATAACTTTCAATATTCAATTATTTTTCTTATAAATATATACACTGTATAAGATTTACGCTAATTTATTTTTTTGTGTTTATTGTTTTTACCCTTTTTATTTATGAATTTTTAAAAAAATTTTAACAAGTTTTACAAATTATTTTACATATATATTCATTTAGACGTCCTTCGCTATCTATCATATAGGCAAACTAAGCAACTGCTCCATTATGGGGTGCAAAATTTCAATTAATATTTTATTCACACTTTCTCTATCCTTTCAAAACAAATATTCGTTTTGTTAGATTTTATAAATTATTATTTCGTTACTTTTTTTAGAAAAATTTTCTTGATATATAAAAACATAAAAGAAATAATATATATATATATATTTCGATAAATATTAAAATTTCGAATAACTGGTGTTGACTAATATAAGTGTGACCGTAGGGTCGGCACCTCTTTGGCGCCCTGTCAGGAGGGCTGAATCTGACACCACCGAGTCTCTGGGGGACTCGGAAATCGTGACGTTACGTCTAAAGATTCGCGAGCGGTAGCGTGTGAGCGCTTGGATTCGGAGTAGAGGTGAGGAGAGAGACGCGGAAGTAACTTACTCGGACTCCATAGTAACAAGTAAATAACGATTTTAATTAAGTCGAACTAAATACTACACAGAGATACTAAATACTATCGGCATATTATTGTCCTTAAATATACTAGGCCGCGGAGAGAGAGAGTTTACAACCGAATCGCGGGTTGATAAATACCTTGTCGATGGACAGTTCTTTGAATCTTGAATGGACAGTTCTTGGATGGACAGTTCTTTGAATCTTGTCGTTGAATCTTGAATCAGAATCTTGTCCGTTCACTGGGGTGGAGGCACGGAGGAGTGTAGAGGCTTAATCCAGCACGAATGTTTTTCTCGGGTTTAATCCTGGTCACGGTTTTAATTCGGTGTTACGGTTTTAATCCTGGGGCACGGTTTTAATGGTTTGGAGGACGACTTGGTTGGGCGGGCTTGAATGACGACTTCTGTAGAGGGACTTCGGATGACGACTGACCTCGGGATCGTTTTCTTTTCTCTTTTTTTTTTCCCTTGGGTTTTTTCCATGAGGTCAGGTGATGGCCTTTAACGGTCGCCCGTCCAATATGTCTTTTCCATTCAAAGTTCCTGGTGACACATCCCTGACTAACTTGATCCGACTCAACAAGGAACAAACCCCGTGGGAAATAATTTTTATGGCTTTTAGCCTAACTCGATAAAACGTTCGAATTTAACCGATTATATTTTCCAAATTAAAATTTAAAATAACATTTTATTGTGGGTCTGTTCGTCCCTCACATAAGTAATGTCTTACAAAACAAATTGAACGCTCCACTTACTTTTTCTGGTTCTATTTAATAATTAAGAATTTAAATTTTAAAATTTATTTTATAAATTTCGCAAAGAAAAATCAATAATGGACAACAACAATGTAAAATTTGACAATTATTCTGTCAAATTCTTCCCATTTTTCAGCTTTAAAAGACAAAAACGACTTCAATTATTTCTTTGTGTTTATAAAAATTTTTACAGGAAAAAAATTCATTGAGATTTCCGTTCCAAATTATTTTCATAAATTATTTCTAAATAGGATGTGTTTCAAAATTATACGGACACGAAAAAATTAAAGTGAAACCCAAATTTGCTGCATTAAGTGACAAATGTTTTATTAAAAATGACATAGATTTACGTGTTTCCACACTGCAAAATAAGAATTTTAATCAAACATTAACATTTTGTCACTAAAAATAATATTTCTGAAAGTTTTGTAGAAAAAACTATTACATGTTTATTTGGACACGCACTCATTTCATGACTTAAATAGAATATTGTTTAGTTTTAAGCATTGAATATGCAAATTAGCTTACATATCTAATTGTAATACAAATTCTTTATGTTGTTCAACGTTCTAAAATGGGTAGAACAAAGAATTTATCTGATTATGAAAAAGAGCAGATTGATGCCTATAAATCACAAGGTAAGTCAATAAGAAAAATTGTAGCATATATAAATCGTCCAAATTCAACTGTTGGTGATTATTTATCAAAACCGCATGGCAAGGATTTATCAAAATTCAAGACAGGTCCAAAACCCAAGCTTGCACTTCGATATGGAAGACAAATCATTAAGGTTTGCTCCACAAAACAAACATCAGTAAGAAAAATAAAACAAGAATTAGACTTGCCTGGTAGCAGCACAACAGTGTGGAGAGTGTGGAGAGTTTTAAATAAATCTCCAATGTTAAAATTCAGAAAAACGCTGTAATGCCACCACTTTCATTAAAGCAAAAAAGTGACAGACTTGATTGGGCACAAAAACACATGACATGGTCTAAAGAATAGATTGGAGTTTTGTTCAGCGACGAAAAAAATTCAACTTAGATGGTCCAGATGGTTGGATGTATTATTGGCACGATTTAAGAACCGAAAAACAAATATTTTTAAAACGCCAAATGGGTGGGAAGATCAATAATGGTGTGGTGTGCTTTTGGATTCAATAGACCACAGATTTAGCATTTATAACTCATAGAATGAATTGAAAGAAGTATTGAGGCATGCTTGAAGATCATTTATTGGAAGCTGAACAAAATATTTGTGGACCAAATTGGATTTTTAACAAGACATCGCCCCTGTGCATGCCTCTAAATCAACAAAAATGTGGTTTAAACGAAAAACATTATTCTGATGATATGAAACCGTGCTTTGCAATTTGTGTATGCTTCTAACACAATAAAGTGCTATAAATTAAGACACTTGGCGGGTTTTCTCATCTTTATTTAGTTGATACGTGTGAAAAAATTACACGTTTCAGGCTTTTAAGCCCCTCTTCAGCCAACTAAAACATTAAAAAAGGATATAACATACATATAAAAAAATACACAAGTTTTGTGGAATTCATAAAAATATAAAACATACCTATGCATACAAGTTTTTTAAAATTGAAGTAACAGCTTACTCTCGATATTTTTCCAGTAAATGAGTGGTACTATTTAGAGATATGACATGTCACGGGGTACGCTAATGAAAAAAGGTTGGGAACCACTGTTCTAGAAAATTGATCAAATTGAAAATTGTTTGATTCTCAGCAATTCTAATCATTTTCGGCGGTAGGTGTTATATAACAATTACTATGATTGTCCAAATACTGAATATACATGGGGTTGGCTTGCAAAACCCCTACGGGCAAAGACGCAAGTAATATCTACTAATCTATATATATAATCGAGATGGGTTGATGATAATAATAAGCGCAGAGCCCAAACGGTTACGCGTTGAAAATTGAAATTTGGTACACAGTTAGGGTACGTCACGAGAACAAACACTAAACAGAGATTTTTTGAAATTCCATTACCCCACGGTGGAGAGGAACAAGATTAAGGCTTGGAAGTGTTAAGTAACAATGGAAGTGTTAACAGAATGCGACGTGCAACATTTACGGGCGCAGAAGCGGGTTTTTTGCGTTTTTGTGGGAAATTAAACATATTTTTAGATCAATCTAAAAATACTGTAATTAGTCTGAAAACAGGGAGACCTAATTCTTGCGTTTTGTGAAAACGGGTGAGATTAGCTATAATGTAATAATCTTAATCTTCGCTATCGTTACTTTTTGCCCGAGCAACGCCGGGCTTATCTGCCAGTTTACTTATGTATTCCAATATTTATTATAAATCTACCAAGTAGATTTATAATTAATATCTGTAGATACATTAAATGGTAACTTTTATTATTATTATGCTTTTGATAAAATGTATAAAGTAATATATAACAAAATAAATGAAACTGTATTAAATAATAGTATTTTTATTTTTTAAGGAATGTACAGAAGAAGTAAAGCTGAAATCAAATTTGCAGTCTTCTAGTCAAACCTTGGATCATCAAACAACACTGGATCAAGATGTATTAAGCGCTGCCGAAATTCTTCTCCAAATGAGAAGGAGACTACAGACAGACGAACAAAATACTTCGGATTTAAATAAATCTTCAACGTCAAAACAAGTCAAGAACATTGAATAACGAAGATTACTTCATTTGATTTTTAAAAATCTTTTTTCACCTCATTCAAATTGTTTCTTCAAAAGCGTACAAAATAATCTATTAGAACATTTATATTTAAGATAAATTTTGAATTTGTAGAATATCTGACAAATATTCCAATTAAAAAATATCACGTAAAGTAGCAATTTGATTTTTAAAAACAAATAATTAAACAGTGAGCGAATTATTGCTTTAAATAATAAACCAATAAAGAAGCAATGTTCTTACTAAACTTTCTTGGCAAGGATTCAGATTGCATTTTGAATCACCTGTTATGAGATTTAATATTAAAAATTCTTACATTACTAAAACTTTGCAAAAAATTAAATTGCAAAAAGCTTAATTTTAAGGGTAGAGTATTATAAAAGAAAATAATAATTAAAAGCTAACAACGAATAAAATGTATATTGAATCGTACTTACTTGTACATGACATATGTCGTCATCTATCCTCTACCCCGTCCATCTTTTATGACCAAAGATAAATAACTTTGATTCTAATAATACACAAACTTACTTATCAAATTTCAGAAATTATTGACAAAAACATAGAAAAAAAACTTCAAAATAAATGAACAAAATCGGTCCCTTCTCACATGAACCCAAAATCTTTTTCAAACACGTACCCAAAATCTATACATACGAAAAACTCTCCATTTATTTTTGCGTTTCTCGGCGTTGGAACTTCCCCTAAGTACAAAAATGTAAAAATATTTGAGAGTCATTTTATGACCTATCGTCATACTTTCCTTTTGTTATGAATAAGAGCTGGTAAAGTAATAGACGTCAATTGATGTCATTATGATATTATAAAATTTAAAACTACTTAGTTAAAATTAAAATATCTACCTACACGTTTGGAGAATACCTCGACATACGTGAATTTACGATGCAGCTCAGTGTAATAGAAGAGCCGCTCGTTTCGACATCAACATCGTACTCTGCATTGTGTTACTACATTGCATGCTGTTTTTACCAGAGATAATCAGTGGCTGCAAGGAATAAGCGCCTTTACTTTTATCAAGGCTAAATGTGTGACACTCTCATACATTCTGCTTTGAGGAAATCGTATAATATCAATGGGTTCATCAACATGATATCTTCGTTCGAAAGATAAAATTAATTTTGCTTATATCTTTGTAAAACTTTTTTGTTAAATGATTTCGTCAGTATTAATTACACGATTTTTTAACCATCTAAGATCTTTTTCGAAACTGATTAAAATAATAGCTTTATATTGTGTTGTTTTATGTTTTTTTACATCATAAAGATAAACCTTCCTTTTTGCCCTCCCTTTCCCTCCCTTCCCCTCTCTTCCCCCCTCTTCCCCTCCCTAATCATGAACTGATATCAATATTTTCAGAGCAATTCAGACGTAAATGCTTATTAAGTTTTAAAAAAGGAATAAATAAATAAGGTTCGTTTTGGCGAATTTTCTGCTGTAAATGTAACTTGAGTTTTTAAAAACTAATTGTAAGATTTTATTTTTATTTTATTTTTCTTGTCATTAATAAATATGAGAGAATAATTTAACTAGTCAACAGGCTCCACTTTTGAAACATTTCCTGTACGTTGTTACTACAATAGGGCCCTTTAATTTAGAGCTCATTCAATGTTTCCCATTCGACACTTAAAAAAAATTCGTTTATATAATTTGTACGTCTCAGATTTCGAAAAAATATTCAGATAACAATTTAGGAAATTCATTCAGAAACTGTACCCTCAATAAGTTTCTTTCTTTATGCATTTTACATTTAAAAAGAAGTAACATTAAATCTGTTTCGTTACAATTTTCATGCTAACCTATAGTCACAATCTGACATTCTGACTAAACAATTGGAAAATTTCACATTATTGTAGTGCATTCTTGGCGTTTCATCTTTTAAAAATTTATAAAGTGAATTTAGAATTTGGATCATAAATTCTATAAATGCAATCAGAAAAAGTAAGTGAAACGTTCAATCTGTTTTGTATAGCATTGTTATTTGGCGACCCTTGTTATTAAAAATTGTAAAAAATAAAATAATTGAAATTATAAGTCATGTCGAAAAAATACATATATTTTACTATTTTGATTAGACATAAAGAAAAAATATTTTTGAAAAAAATAAATCGAATCTTAATGATATATAATAATTTACATAACAAATACTTTTTAAAGGACCAAACAAAGATACACGAATGTACTTTTTGTGAAAATAAATTTCGTACAAAATGGGAGTTAGAAGTTCACATGAGGTCTCATACTGGTGAAAAACCGTTTGAATGCAATATTTGCGGAAAAAAATTCTCCCAGTCTGGAAATTTATTAGTTCACAAAAAAATACATTTTGAAGAAAGACCATTCAAATGCAACTACAAAGACTGTACATACACTGCGAAAAGNAATCCAATCCAAATTACGCTTTATTTGTAATACGGCAATTGCCTGTTACAATGGGAGAACCATAAACTTAAATAATATAACATATTACATAGTATTATTACAATAATATTTTCCTTCTAATTATTTACAAAAGTTTTAACATAGTTGTATAAATTAACTATTAATCGAGTTGTTGCTCTATGGAAAATATAGTACATTTCTTCCACCGATCTGCACTCACTTAAACTTAACAAATCAAATTTCCTTTTTAACTCATAGCTCTTTTCACATTGGCAAAACAAGTGATACTTTGAAAATTCCATATTACATCTAGGACATAAATTATCAGCATATGAGTAGAATTTATTATTTAACATTAATATTTCTGAATTTAGACGTATTTGAATAAAAAACCGTTTTATTACAAAAGGTAAATTCGATAGAATATAATTATTAATATTTGGATAGTTCAATAGTGAACCATGCCAGTTTCGTTTTAAACGTGAACGGTTTTCCTCTATGTCGCATGATAATAGGATATCTAAAATGCTATGCGTTAGCTGACTACACAAATCTTCACTTAGATTCGGCGAAAAGATAAATTGAACAATTGAGAAACTATTGATCACTTTTGAAATTTGAGCTATCCAATTCCTTTTAGAATTCTTCTGTATAGAATCCTTATATAATAAGCAGATTGAATGAAATATCTTTTCTATCTCTTATCTTTATTAGCAGCGTCATAGTTCTCTTGATAAATAACGCAGTGGGACTGTATCTGCTTACTTCTAACCTTAAAGCACTCCCCGGAATTTTATATTCCAAGCAAAACAATCTTCCAATAAGTTTGTTCTGGATAATCTCCAGTTTCTGATAGTTGGCCATACACCAAAATGGTGATGCGTAGCTCACTGAATTATATACAATTGAATTGAATAAGTTAAACTGTGTTTGTATATTTCTTAGATGTGTCTTAGCTAACAATTTCATTACACCATTAATCATTCTATTAGCTTTAATCATCATCATCCTAGTATGTCTGTCAAAGGACAGTAAAGGTGTCAAGATAATCCCCAGAAACTTAATTTCATTGACCAGTTTTAATTCATTATTATTAATGCAGAAAGACATAGTTCTCCTGGAGAGTTTAGCCCCATTTCTAAAAATCATTATACTGTATTTGAATTTTTTGGGTTAATCTTTATTCTCAATTGTTCGAAATATTTGGTTATTACTTGAATTTTTCTGTTAAGAGCTACTGCTGTGGGCGCAATAATAACTATGTCGTCTGCATACGAAACAGAGTGAATCACAGCGTCGCCTATCATGAATCCATCATCATCTTTATCAAAATAATTATTAATGTCAAAGGTAAAAAAGTTAAACAAATGTGGAGACCACAGGTCTCCCTGTAACAACCCACGATCTATCGGATAGGGATAACCTTGTTCATCATTGTGTCGAATAATTGCATCATAATGACCGAATAATAAGCCAGTTAATTTTATCATTGCATTATCCGCACGAAATTGAGACATTTTGTTTTGTAATGCTCTTATACTGATTGAATTGTAGGCCTTATTTAGGTCCAAAAATAGTGCATATACTTTATGTTTTTTCCTTTTGAGTTGAATCTGGATTATAGCCAGTAATATGAACAATGTTAGTTGAGTTCCACCTTTTCTAACGAAGGCAAATTGTATAGGATTCCTTAAATTCTCATGGTCTAGCCATTCGTTAAATCTTCTAGCCAACATCGAAGTAAATAGCTTACGGAACGTCGATAGTAACGCAATCGGGCGGTAATTTTCTGGATTTAATTTATCTCCTTTTTTATATATCATTTGAAATATTACCTGATTCCATGTAATCGGAATAACTCCTTTATTATAGAATGTATTATATAAGCTGACAATATAATCCAGAATCGGGATTGTTAAATTTTTAATCACTTTATTAGGGAGACCATCACTTCCTGGTGCAGATTTGATTTTAAGCTTCTTAATATAAAACTGTAACTCTTGAACACTAAAGATCTCTTCCATAGCCAAATCTTCCTCTTTTGGTTCTTCCATTTTTGTGCTTTCCATCTTATCCCTATACTTAATTGAAAAACTATCAAAGTAATTATGCCATCTCACTAATGGCACAATAACAGGTCTCTCTGTCTGTACAATAGGATAACGGAATTTGTTGATCATTTCCCAGAATTTTTTGGAGTCTTTAGTTCTTATCAGATTGTTATTTAATTCAGCAAAATATCTCCTCTTTTTAGCTTTAATTAAATTATTGTAAATTCTTATATTTTCGACATATTTCTTCCAGTCCACTTCACTATTCGTGTTCCTGAATCGAGCCAAACTTCTTTGTTTCTTTTTCTTATGATAGAAGCATTTAATTACCATACCAACACTGTTTATAAGTCCGTGGGAAATTCCCCGACCAGTAGTTAACTCGACACATCTCTAAAAGCCTAATAAATTTTCCATAACTATCTAACGGATTTGAATCTATTCCTTGACATAACATCTCATTGACCTTACCCGGTATATCTTCTAATATACACCGTATGTTAAATCTTTTAGTTTTCCTTTTGTCAAATCTAAATTGTTTTTGCAAAACCGAACTTGAAGTGAATGTATTATAACTATGACCTAATAGAGATAATTGAGTTGGAAAGTGGTCAGATTGATCCTTATCAATCACCTTCATTTTGTTACAGTAATGTATCATATCTTCATTACATATTATAATGTAATATTAATAAACTATTTATTATTGNCACGCTATTACTACAATAGGGCCGTTTAATTTAGAGCTCATTCAATGTTTCCCATTCGACACTTAAAAAAAATTCGTTTATTTAATTTGTACGTCTCAGATTTCGAAAAAATATTCAGATAACAATTTAGGAAACTCATTCAGTAACTGTACCCTCAAAAAGTTTCTTTCTTTATGCACTTTACATTTAAAAGAAGTAACATTAAATCCGTTTCGTTACAATTTTCATGCTAACCCATAGTCACAATATGACATTCTGACTAAACAATTGGCAAATTTCACATTATTGTAGTGCATTCTTGGCGTTTCATCTTTTAAAAATTTATAAAGTGAATTTAAAATTTAAATAATTAATTCTATAAATGCAATCAGAAAAAGTAAGTGAAACGTTCAATCTGTTTTGTATGGCATTGTTATTTGGCGACCCTTGTTATTAAAAATTGTAAAAAATGAAAAATCTGAAATTTTAGATGATGTCGAAAAAATACATATATTTTACTATTTTGATTAGACATAAAGAAAAAATATTTTTGAAAAAAATAAATCGAACCTTAATGATATATAATAATTTACATAACGTAAAAAAACTTTTTTAAGGATCAAACAAAAGCACATGAATGTACTAAATGTGAAAAGAAATTTCGTACAAAATGGGAGTTAGATATTCACATGAGGTCTCATACTGGTGAGAAACCGTTTGAATGCAATATTTGCGGAAAACTATTCTCTCAGTCTGGAAATTTACTACTTCACAAAAAAACACATTTTGAAGAAAGACCATTCAAATGCAACTACAAAGACTGTACATACAGTGCGAAAAGAAAAGATGTTTTGAAAAAACATGTGAATCGAATACATCTAAACGTAAGAACTTCTGACTTATTGAATAAATAAACAATGTTTACTTTTTAATATTAATTGGGTAAATATTTATAAAATAGAATACATCAAATTTATTAAATTAAAGTATATAATGTGATATTATGATAACTTATAAAACAAATTTAATTACTATAAATAAAAGTGGTACTTAACAGTGAAACATCAAAAAATATACTTGTTATATCTTATTCTTAAAGAACGTGAATTATTATTATCAAATAACTTCTCTTTGAATAAACGTAAAAATTATATACAGAATTTAAAAAACAATTACAAGATATATTAAACTTTTACTTTATTTTTAAAATATTAATATATACACTTTTTTCTTGTGCAATAAATAGATACTGTTAATTTAAAATTATATAATATTAATACTTAGATTCCACGGAAACGACCAGAGAAAATTCATAAATGTGATAAATGCGATAAAAGTTTTTCATGGTTATACGATTTAAAAAGACATCTAACGTCTCATGAGAAAAATCGACCGTTTTCATGTGATATTTGTAGGAAAACATTCAAATGTAAATTTGACTTAAAAAGACACATGAAAAAAGTACATCCACAGGAACAAACCGAAAGTTTTTCCAAAGTAAGTAAATAAAATTTCTGAAATTAATCTTTCAACAATTACTTAAATATTATAATGTAAAAATAGTTATGTAGCTTGTAAAAAATTGTTTAAATTGCTTCTCAGATTCTTTTAGGTGACATTATTACGTGATTACTGTAAATACATTCTGTAACCTTTCATTCATAAAATAACACTGCATTGTTGTTCATTTAAAGTAAAGTAGTAATAGAAAACAAAAGGTCATTATCGTAAGTTAGTACTTTTAGTCATTCGATAACCAGCAGCCATCAGCTTAAATTTACTTATTATAATTATTTGTAATAAGTTTAATCGTAATAATTGTTTCGAAATATATTTTTCTGTAGATAAGTTTTTTCGAAAAACAATTTCTGTTTAATTTGTGAAATTTTTTGAGCTTTCGCACTGCATTGCTTATTGGTTTTTTGCTTGCTGTTTGTTCTTTGCAATTCAGAACAAAATTGTTACAGAGAACTTATCATACAGACACAATTTGTACGATAAAAAAGTAGTGTTGTAACGAATAGTATATTCGGCCTCAGGACGAATACCGAATATTCGGCCAGGAGCGTGGCCGAATAGCCGAATATTCGGCCAAACTATTCGGCTTGATTAACGCACGTACGAAAATTGGCGCGCAAACCGCATTATGGCAAGGATCCTGCTCTCTATTGGCCCGCTGTCACTACGCTTCGCCAATCGCGTTAATTCTTGGCAGTTGTAGCCGACAGACAAGAGTGTCATGGAAGTATGTGATAAATGATGATATCAAATGACCTACACTTGTAAATAACGGAAAAAGAACAGAGAAGGACCGC